ATATTTTAAAAAAAACAATAATTTTTAAGTCTTGCCCCAATCATTAACATATTATGGCTACGTTATTAGGGTTGTCAAAACGACTCTTTGTTCATAAACGACCCGTGTTCGACTCACTAAGCAAACGAGCCGAACACGAACACATTTTTTGAACTCGAAATATAAACGAGCCGAACACGACCTGAGACTGGGCTCGCTCGTGTTCGGCTCGTTTACACCCCTAATTGTAGCGGTGAAGTGGAAGAGTTTATCGTCTTAAATTTGCACGAATATATCACACACAAATAAATAAAATAAACAACACGTGAAAACTTGAACGAGAAAAAGTCATGAGAGCCAGTCGAATTAAAGTGATTCCACTATAAAGATATTAGCTCCAAAATTTTGCCTGTTTTCCTAGCTGAAGCGACCAATCCTTCAAGAGTGGGGATTATTAGCATGAAATTTGCTAGAGATGCGAGTAATGTCATGCTTGTGACAGTACATCAATAATAGGTATTGAATGATATAAGTTCGGGGTATTGTTGTTGGCAGTAATCGAGTTGATCTAACAATGATTGTTGCAGCGTGGAAACACTTTTGATAGTTGGACAATGATGATGGCGGCCGGATTATGGTGATCCATCAATAACAACAGTTTAAAGAAGGCGGTATGGTAACGATGACAATTAGGCAACGACAATTTTAAAAGAGAAAATTATAGAGATAAACTTCTGTTTATCTAAAAATATCATTAAAAAATCACAAAAAATAAAAATTATGTGAAAATCTTATAAGGTAAAAGTTTTGTGTGTATATATAATCTTAAGATTTTAGAATAAAATAATAAAAGTTGTCATAGCCATCAACTGCATGTTAAATTTAGTTGCATAAGGAGCATAACACAAACTGTTCGCAAACGAATAAAAATAATTATTGCATCAAGAGTCCTGATGTAATTTTGCATCATGACTCCAATCAGGGTCTGTCACATGCACACAGACAGACCCACCGTAATTATTTAATACATGGATGGGTCTGCTTGTACATGTGGTGAGCTTGATAGAAGTTCTTATGCAAAATTACATCAGTACTCCTGATACAATAATTTTTCATTTGTCCGACAACACTATTTCTCATGAAGCGCGATTTTTTATCTGTCTTAGTTCTTGATTTTTGAGTGACTTTATAACATCGCTTTTTATACAACTACTTTTCAAACAATATCTTTTATAATTCAACAATATCTTTTATAATTCAAAAATATTATAAAATAAATCCTATATTTGTAAATATAAAAAAATTATAGGTTGCGTATGTGAATTTCTCAAAATATAAACCATCGTTACGAGAAAATTGACCTGTAGAGTTCATCAGTTCACTGATTGCCAGTGTCAGATGTTCCGCAGGTTGAAGTACATGGTGGCAGGCGGTCTGTCGGGTAATTAGTGGGGGACTCTAATGGTATTTCCTAAAGAAGAAGAGGGTAATACTGTATTTGTCGGATTGTGTCTCGCGAGGAAGATGAACGCAATTACAAGAGCTTTTATGGAAGATCAAATTAAATTTATTTAAGTTAAATATAACATTAATCATCAATGCATTGTATTTTTGTTAAAGTGAATTAAAAAAGACATTTATGGAACAATTTTTTAATATAAAACTTTCGAGAAAATATTTTTTATTACATAATAATTTACAATTTTGTTCCAGTTAATTATTTTAGAATAATTACTACAAACCTCAAAATGTAAATCTAAAATTCAAAATTGAAGAATAAAATTTACTAATTTTACTCCAAATCTTTACTTAAAATGGTGTATTCATAAACATGGACATACAAAAATTTTAATTAATTTTTATTTGTTAAATCGAGTCTACCTGTCAAAGTGGCTTATTTTATTTATTTTTCTCCTTTTTGGTTCTTGAAGAAATGATGACTATTTATAATCCTACTATTTCTTATTAAAATAAATCACCATCTCGAATAAAATTAATGATCTGAAGAGAAAATGAGCTGAAAGAAGGGATATACGACGAGCAATAGACAAATGAAAAAAAATAACATGAAAAACTTTTGTAAAGTGAATTTTGCGTAGATAGCCCAAAAGTATACATCTGAAATGAAATGGGATTGAAAATAGCTCGGAGGAATATTTCATGAAGAGGAACTTACGGAAGCAACCCATAACCAAAGAATAAAATATAAATACTTATTATGGGGCCAATGACAGCTCCCAAAGGAACATATTCATTTCGTTATTTCCATCTTGGGGATACCTCACCAAAGAAAACTCTCAATTGTTGGGTAATGTGGAGACCCGGTCCACCGCAATTTAATTAATTGTTGTTAATTAGCTTCTTAATTAAGTATCCTAGTGTTTAATTAAAAGCAAAGTGAAGCCATGCAAGGGCCAAGCCAAGTCCTATAAAAGAGAAAGAGAGGAAGAGAGAGAGAGAGAGAGGAAGGAAGAGAAAAAAAATAGAGATTTTCTTGTAAACGTCAAGGCATTCAACGGTGTAATTCCTCGAAGAAATAAAATCATCTGCAGCTCTGTGGACATAGTCAAATTTGCCGAACCACGTAAATCTGTGTGTCGCTCTGGGTTTTTTTCTGCATACAATTTTTATTGTTCTATTTTTCGATTTATTGTCGTCGTTTTTCACAACAATTGATATCAAAGATTAGGTTCAAATCTAAGAAAAACAATGGGCGGAGACGAAGTGATGACATCGAGGATCGAGAAGTTCAATGACATAAATTTTATTTACTGAATGATGAAGATATAGGATTCCCTCTATGGGAAGAAACTTCATCTTCCGTTACTATGAAAACTACCGGAAAAGATGGACGAGGCGAAACAAAATTTTATCGGCACGCTTCCTACACAGATTACAGAGTCATAGGACAAAGCGTGAATCGCCCTAACCACAACATGCGGCGACGCCTAGACATGCGGGGCCCATAAGATGATATCAACAATTTGTCACGTGAATCACCCTAACCACAACATGCGGCAACCAGGCATGCGGGGCCCATAAGATGATATCAACAATTTGTCAAAGGAGTTGACATGACTCAAAAGAGGTCTCAAAAGGAAAGAAAAGATCCACTAAAAAGGTAGAGCTAGCCAAATTAAAAATACCACTATATTGCTGGTAAGTGAGTTGCTTCATGTGTATTGAATCATGACCTTTAATTTGAGTTGAAGTGCATAATTCAAAACTCATAATAAATATTAATGAAACAATTTCAATTAGATTAAACCACCTTTTTCTTGTCAGAAACTAAATAATTTTGTCTAATATATGCTACTCTTAATTTATTTTATCATTATTTTCTTGAAATTTCCATATAATTTTAAAGGATTTTTTTTTTTTTTTTGCTTTTCAGTATGCAATAATGATACCATCTACATTAAACTACTTTCAAAAGGATCTTAATCAAATTGAGTGGCATGCATGGTGAGATGTTCTTAATCTCAATTAACGCCCTCGCGTGCCCTCCTAATGAGTTCTTAATCCTAAAAGCTCCTAATTTCCGAATTAATAAATATCACGCTTAATTTAAATTACTAGCTGTAATTAGTATCGGCACGCTTCCTACACAAATCTCTTTTTCACTTCAA